ACTGGAGACAATAGAATATCTATGCAACTATGTGCATGATAACAGCATTCATTTAGCTATACCCTTACCAAGCCTGAAAGAATTACTTCTGAGATGCACCTACAACATTCAGTTTCTTTTCGACGGCATATGTTATCGGCAGAATGATGGGGTCGCAATGGGGTCTCCACTCGGACCAGTGCTGGCAGATATTTTTCTTGCCAAGCTAGAAACGGAATCACTGGGGCCACTTATAGATAGTTTCGATCATTACTATCGTTATATGGATGACATTTTCTGCATAACCCATAAAGATATCTCTCTGGAGAATATATTGGCAGAGTTTAATGGTGCGCATCCGGCGATTAAGTTCACCTACGAACTTGAACAAGATGGCCAACTCTCATTTCTGGATGTACACCTTATTAGACGAACTGACGGTTCCATATTAAGGAAGACAAACAGAAAGAAGACGTGGACAGGTCAGTATACAAATTTCAGTAGTTTTGTACCGCTTAAATACAAGCGTAACTTAGTACATTGTCTCACCTCAAGGGCGAGAAAGATATGTTCAGAGGATGCTCTGGAGGATGAGATGAAATCCATCCAGAACACTTTGCGTGAAAATGGTTATCCAGAAAGATTCATTCAGCGCAACATGCAGCCCAAAATAACACCGGTCGTTAAGGACGTAGTCGCGCAAAAGGCCCTCTTCATCCGCCTTGATTTTAAAGGTGATACAGTTAGTGAGCTCTTAACAAGGAAACTGACGCAATCGATAAGGAACACCTTTCCGGCTGCGGAGTTACGATGCATCTTCGCCACGAATCAGCTAATTCCTGTGTGCAACAAGGACAAACTGCCGAAGCCGACCTCTTCTTACGTTATCTACCGATGTGAGTGCACTTGTGGGGCAACATACATTGGTCGTACGGCTCGTCAATTGTCACGTCGCATTAAGGAACATAGTCCTAAATGGTTGTTGAACGGGGGCACCGGAGTACTTACAAGCGGTATCTTATCTCATCTTTTCGAATCTGGTCACCAGGTTAACCTCCCGAATGCTTTCACTGTGATTTATCAGGTTCCAATGAGCAAATCGAAAGGTACGCGGTTAAGGATGCTCGCCACTGCAGAGGCCATTGCGATCCGCATATTCCAACCCCCGCTGTGCTCGCAGAAAAAGTTTGTTCAATCTCTATACCTGCCCTGGCCGAACAACCATCAGCCTAGCCGTCACCCCGACATTGGGTCAGGCCTTGTGATTACGTAACCCTCAATCGATCTGTGTGCATGAGACAGCGGCGAACCATTCGCTGTCTAACCATTGACCGAGTCAGTTCAGAACAAACCCCCGAACCAATCACTATCCATCCCTTTGTAATTTAACCTTATATGATTGTACCGGCCTGTAGATGAATCATTGAAAACAATTGTTTGCCTCAGACTGATGTTCTGGATGGAGAATAGCTATCTGTTTTGCCATGTTTTTTCCACTACAATCACAGGAGTGCGCCAACCATTCATAACAAGACAATCTATTGACTTGATTTACCGTCTACCGTTCTCTTTTCTCCTCACCGCATGGGTGATCGCGCGCGGCACATCACTCGCTGAACAGATTGATACACTTTCTTTTCGATAAATGAGCATGAATCAACTGTGCCACTTGTTCCACCTGTCCTAGTTCATCAATTTCCCAACATCAGTATTGCACCCTCTCACACCATCGGATATCCCTCTGCAACTTTCACTATTTCCGGCCGCTCTCTCGCCTCCGACGAACAAGCCGGTGTTCTTTCGTCTGGAGACGATTTACATCCATTCGGCCTAGGTTCACTGCTCAGCAGAATTCCGTACTTTCGTGTAGGCAGAGGCGTTCTACATTATACGCCGTCCTTTCTCCTTGTAAATGTTGATTTGCATTATACAAGTCTAATGCTGGGGAACTAAAGGCAAACATTATTACCGTTTTCATTTTGCTAACCCGGGCTCCTAGCCCAATGTTTGGGTAACAGTGGAATTCGCTTATGGAGCCGTCCACCACCGTCGCAACTGACACGATTAATGCTGTCAGCTTCTTCCAACTTTTCAACTTTTCTAGCGTGAAACTGGATACAACTTTAATCGAAGTTCTATCGCTCGGTTTAAAATTTTGTGCACCTAGACGTAGAGACAACCAACTTCATTACGAGTTGCAATTCGAAAACCTATATGACCAAACGAATGGGTTAACACCTACGTCTAATATGGATCTCTAACGCTTTAAGTGCTTCTTGGTACATTTTTGCTATCAGTATCGTAAACATCGTGTCCATAATTGTGGTCCATTAACAAGAAAGCACCTAGACGCGCTGAAGGAGCTTAAACGCAACGAAAAGGTCCTTCTGTGCAAACCGAACAAGCGTGCCGGTGTTGTGTTATTAGACAGAAAAGGTTATATTGGTAAACTCACAACCATTCTGAGCGATAAGACGAAGTTTTCCTGCGACACGAGGGAAGCTGACCAAACGGAACAGATTGAGAGTCAGATCACTAAAAGCCTCCAACAGCTTCGGGCCAAGGGGTACATAACCGATGCATTGTATGACAGTCTTAGACCTTGTGGCACAAACGTCCCGAGACTTTACGGCTTGCCAAAAATCCATAAGGCCGATATCCCGCTTCGTCCTATTCTGTCAATGGTTAACTCCCCCTACCACGCAGTTGCCCAGTGGCTGGTAGGAATTCTTGAGCCGGTGAGACAACGGCTTGCGACTTACAGCCTGCGCGACAGTTTTCAGTTTGTCGAGAGCATCAAGGAGGCCAAAATTAATGAGAAAGTGATGCTCTCCTTTGATGTTGTCTCGCTTTTCACTAACGTCCCGCTGATCGAAACCATCGATTACATTTGCGAGCAGATAACGGAGTTGGAAATTAAGATCTGTATACCTGTGCTTGAATTGAAAAACTTATTTCTGCGGTACACATGGAATGTGCAATTTCTGTTTAATGGTAAATTTTACCTGCAAAAGGATGGCGTAGCCATGGGATCCCCCTCGGTCCATTGTTCGCAGATATATTCATGGCCAAATTGGAGCGAACAAAATTGCAAGCGGATAAAATCTTTTGATTACTATCATCGTTATATGGATGATATATTTATAGTGGCAGATAAAGGAATAAATCTGGATGACGTTCTCGATCGTTGATACCGGGCTCACGCAGCATTGCAATTTACGTACGAGGGAGAAACTTGCAATCGGCTTCCATATCTAGATGTCTTGTTAACTAGGAGGCCAGACGGCTCCATCCAGCGGAAAGTCTACAGGAAAAATACGTGGATTGGTCAGTACACGAATTTTTACAGTTTCGTCCCACTGAGATATAAGCGAAACTTAATCCATTGCCTTACCACAAGAGCACGTAGAATTTGCTCACAGGACACCCTGGATGAGGAACTAGCCTTTATAAAGAATACGCTGCGCGAGAATGGCTACCCTGATAGATTTGTTTCAAAGAATTTTGAAGAAAAGTCCAAGCCGGTACCAGTTTTAACCGCGGCGAAGGAGTTATTTTTAAGAATACCTTTTAAAGGGGATGCCGCTGCCGAACGCCTAACCAAAAGTCTTTCAGCGGTAGTCAAGTCGACATTCCCAGCAGCCAGGTTAAAGTGCACATTTTCTACTGAACCACTTGTTTGTTCACGCAATAAAGATACGCTGCCATTGCTGACCTCATCTATAGTTATTTATCAGTTCAAGTGCGTTTGTGACGCTACTTATATTGGTCGAACGGCACGGCACTTGTCCAAACGCGTGAAGGAGCACTGCCCGCGCTGGTTGCGTCAAGGAGGAACTGGGGCCATTAGCAGCGCCGTTTTGGCCCATATTGTCGACACGGGGTACCAAGTCGACCTAAAGTGTGCCTTCAGGATAATTTACAGGGTCCCCCAGCATCAATCAAGAGGTTTGCGCCTCCGTGCGCTCGCGACAGCTGAATCGATTTGCATTCGGTTGTTTCAACTTTCATTATGCTTGCAAAAGAAGTTATTCCATGCCTTACAGCTTTCCTGGCCAGCTAGAACGAACGATACTGAGGTCGACTGCCACAGATTAAGCTCGATAACATGCAATCGACCTGTCAGATCAATGGTCAACTTTTAGCCTCCCTCACTGATCCGTTAATAAACTATGTAACTTGACCCAATGAGTCGATTTCAGTTCATTATTTTACCCTTACATATGGTTGTAATGGTCTGAAGAGAATCATCGAAAACAATTGTTCACCTATGGTCTCGTGTTCCTTTGACTCTTTCGTTGTATTGCTACATTTCTTCAACTAGTATCCGAAGGGATGAGACATCTGCCTTGTAACGCAAAGGTCATCGGTTCGAATCTACGTAAGTGCGGGCGACCCACGTAGTATCCCTAGCCCTCGCGCGATTGGTGGTGAATACGCAGCAGCAATTCGTCGGTACGACGCACAGGCGTATTGCTGATGCTTTTCCTTCTGGCGAGATGTTCTGTTTGAAGCCCCTTGAAACTATTGCTGTTGTCCTATATTTCCTTTATGCGATGCCAACAACGATCAATTTCTCTATTGTTATCCTCACTTAGTTGCCAGAAAGTTACCTGTTTTTTAGCACAACTACTTCCCTTCAGTAATTTGCAAACTACAGTGAGAAGGCGAAGTTCAGCAGATGCACGCCTCATCAGTGCCGATAACGATAACGGGATATTATATGCGCTTGTTAGCCAGCGCGGACAAATTTACGAACAAACGAAAGTAGAAAGCAAAAATCTTGTTCGTACCTCCGGGGCAATTTGAGGCTGACTGCTTGTTGTTTTTGAACACAAAACTCCGGTTGATCCGACCTTTTTTCTGCTCTAAATCCGGAACTTAAGCTGACGTGTATGCTTGTTATCACTATGTATTGACCAAGAAAATCAACCTCCACAGGTAGAAATACATAAACACATTCCTATCTTTTTACTTGAAAACCTGCCTCGATTTTAGCCTGTTTCTTTCATATATTTCAGTGTCTGATGCGGCAACAATCCATCGAATTTTCTCGATTGACCGCCTTAACAGCCACCCGTGAAGAACGTTTTCTGGCCACAGTGTGGCGTCTGTGGCTTAACTACCTCGGGATTACCGGTGAACTAGGTGAGCGAGCCTGGCGCGTTGCCTCCGTGGGGCCCGGTCGTGCCATGAGTATACTGCTCAAATTGGAAGAGTTAAACCGTTTGCAGCGACATGGTGTAAAGTGTCGATCTTCCAGTTCGGCAACACGACGCTGCTCGAACCCCCGCGATTCGGATAGTAAGAGGCTGTCTGACATGTTGCAGCAAGATTGGCAGGTTATTCAGCGCCGTCTGGATCACTTTCTTTGGGTCGGATGGGGCTCATTGTACGAACCAATCGAGGGTCGTGAAGCACTGGATCCATTTCTTGGACCATTACAACGGTAAAACAGTTTTTCATTTTCTCTACTCTATTGTTTCTTACGAACTTTTGTTTCATTTATTCGAACGAATCCTGGTTGTTGTATGTCACTTAATGTTTCACCGCTGCTGATCTGATGGAATCAATGCGCATTTACTTCAGGGGTGAGTCGGACCGTGAGGACTTTAGGTCGAATACTTCTCTTTGCATGTGTTCCACTTGGCTAATGTACTGCTTCACACCTGCCAGATGATGCATCTCGGAGCAGAGTGTACGGCAATGCGGCGCGATCCGAGCCACTTTTTTAATCAGTCGCTTGGCTTCTAGATGCTGAAATCAAGGGGCTAGTAATCTTTGATCACTCAATTCCACTGGTCATTGCCGGTTTGGGGCTACCTGAGGTGTCAATTAAAGATTGATACAATGTTTTTGACTTTTGTTGGATCGTTTTGGCTGCACTTATTTGATTATGTCCTTCACCCGTTTGTCATTTGTACACTCCAGTGAACCCAATCTAGGGAGATAAGTCTGATGTAGGTGATGCCCCAGTGTGCTATGACCTTAACATGATGAAGCGCTTTTGCTTAATGCTCAAAAGCAATCCCGTCCAAGTTGCTGATGATGCAGTGGACGATATTCGTTACATCATGATGTCAAAGATTGCGTGTAAACCGTTTTTAGTGGTGTTGGTTACCTGAAATGTGGGTGGAAAAGACACGTAAACTCATCAGATTCTGAGCTCAAGCAGCACTTGTCCATAATGTCACAAAAGAAGCTGAAAGCGGATTCTTTTTGTAGAGTGGAAACTCTGCAAAGGAATTTTACTGAAGCAAACAGAAAGAAGCAAGACATCTGTCTAATTGTCGCATAGGATCGGAGGCGCGTACGCGTATACGTGACGCTTTATCTTAAACCGGTACATCCATTTAAACACTTCTTCCAATGCTGCGTTATTTTATTGAGTATAATTCTGGTGTGTGCTCATTTAATCGTTAACAAACGCCTCGTAATCTCATTTATTTCCTCTTGTCAGCGCACATGCAGCATCGGTACATAAGCTCCAGAAACGACGCGCAGTCACAAAACGGAAGACATCCCTCGGGGCATCAGCCGCGCTCTTGAGCGCACCAGAGGATTTGGCTGAAACGGATGATGATTGGCTCGCTGCTGTCGAGCTGGAACCAATCGATAGCTTGAAGGACGAGGCTGTGGTGCAGTTAATGAGTACAGATCCTGATTCTAAGTCTACCGGTTACATAAATTCCCCACGGGCTGCTTGGAGGGATTATGTTGTAATGAAATTGTGAGCAATTTCAACGTTGTGATCATCACTCTTTCAACCTGGTGTATTTCTCCCACCATTTAGGTGCAAAACTTACTTCATCCCTAGCTTTCGCGACATTAACACATTCTTGTAGCTATTCTAATTACTATCGTCTCTTCGTTGTTCATTTTTTGTGATCTTACCAATTTAGCAGTCCTCCATAAGTTTTGAATTGTATCCAATGGAACAACACAGTATCCGCTCTTTCGCTGATTGTCATATTTGCGTATTGCATCCGGTCGCGAAGACCCTCCCGTTATCATTTTCTGTCTAGTTTTTTAATCACCGGAACTTTGTGGTTACAATTTCCTCGAGCACCTGCGCCCGTGTGAGTGCTCGTCAAGTATCGATAGTTCAGGCATAGTTCCTAAGTTTCTACATCACGATGGAAAGCGAATCCCCTTGACTTAAGATAGCACGTGCGCTTCCTCAGGTCTGATCACACATGAGCCCCCACTTTTATCCCTCAATTTGCTTACACCCTGCGCATCTGTCCATTAAAATAACCCTCGTCTATCAATCTCATCAGTCCTATATCATGCGTTCTAATTAGCTTCGCATGAACATATCAGTCGGAATTACTGTCGGATTCCATGGTAGACCACGTCAAATTTCCTTCTCTTTAGTTAGCCATTTTATCCTGTGCGGTTCCAGCTACGGTGACTACTACACCGTAGCAGTACCACTTCCTAATGACATTCTCCCTCTTTCGGATGTCAGGGTTATGTATTGAATTTCTGAAACCGACAGCTAACGATGCCTTCGTAGGTAGTGTTTTTCGATTGTCATTTTTCCTTGTCAGCAAACTGGTACCAAATTTTCCAACCACGGACACTTCCATCATGACCACTTTACTGTACTGTTCGACGTTCACTGAATTAAAGCGCATACGCATTACCACGCTGTTTCGAGTATACAACTCGGTCAATTTATTTTCCCCAAGTGCTCTTGATCATTACTAAAATGTTCAATTCAAAGCTGGCCTCGGTTGGAGCCTCTCGGCTCCATGCTTGGGATCCGAAGGATCATTAACATGTCTAGCTGGATACACTTGTTGGCATGGCTAGGAGCAGACGTCGGTGGCGTTTGTGTTGTGAGTTTCTTTGTCCCTCCCCCTCCCGCCTAGCCTCCCCTCCAACCACGATCTCATTTTCTAGCATATTGCAAGTCTTTCGTAATATAATTTTTTGCGGCTCAATACCAGCTGGTATTTTTCCGGAACGATGCCTATCCGTTACTGTTGGCTCAGCTTTTTTCTTATGTATTGCGGCACAATAGCTGTGGTGTTTTCCACCTCTAGCTTACGTGTATATAAATGATGTGTTGTGTCCCCAGGCGTTCGACTTCTTAGATTGCGCCCCACGAGTCAAAAAGACAACGCACCGGACTCAAATGTCTCCTGAAGCCTTCATCAAATAACTGTCTTCTGTTTTGCTGTCCTGTTGGTTGTTTTATGTTTAGTACTTGGGCCTTTTCCGGCTAGTTTGTCTTCCCTCGTCTCATAAACGGAAACCTACGAATTTCAGCATATGCTATCTTGAACTTTATTTACGCAACGATTACCAATGTTATCTGAATTCGCGAATTTAGGGACGCTGATTCCTGGTGTATCTGCCGTGAAATGACACCGGTAACAGCTTTTATTTTTGTGAAAACCGATTCATTCTTCCACTTGCAGTGAATCTATCCTTAATCACTATATATATATATATATATATATATATATATATATATATATATATATATAACCCATTGAGCCGCTGTCTCCTTCACGGTACTCTTACCTACCTTCGAATAGCCTTATACGTCCTGTTTGATATACATTTTCTCACGTGTGGTTTTTTCTCTTGATTTGCTTTTTTGTCTTATTGGAACGTTTCTTTTTGAGCCGCTTAAGCATTACCTTTTCCTATCATAGGTCTCAGTCACAACCTTGGAAACGCACTTTTTGGCGCGGTCAGGTTCCAGACCAGAATTCCAGGGCACTCGTGGAATATAACTTGGCAATTCTTTTCTTCGCTTACCTCACCGAAATGCCTGTTCGCCCTGCCGTCAATCCCATCGCTTGGCCACATAAGGACCTCGCATTTCTGTCTTCAGGTGCCGTCGCGTTTTCCCAAATGGCAACATTGCAGGATATAGCTGAACTGGGAAATACTGGGAAATTAACTCTTTCTGTCGTAAGTACGAAGTCTTATGTTATTGTTGTGGCTGTGGTCGCCTATGACGCGGGACACTGAAGCCCGCAAGAAATCAGCCTCACCAAAACCACCTTACCTTCATGCAATAATTAGGGTTTGGGGACCGAGAGATGTCCACAATGCTTAGCCGCTTTGATCCTGAATGTTGCCTAGCGGTGCGTATGGCCACCTTCTATTTTCGGCGAAATGTTGTGTTTCACTGACCTGCTGTTCTGTGGCGTACGTCTTGTACCTGAACAGCCATTTAATTGTTTGCGGATAGCAAATTTATTGACCGGGGGTATCAGAGAACCACCTCGTCGTTGGCTTGAGACATTAAATTAATAGTATGGCTCGCTACACACAACCTTGGTGTTCGTGCCGTCGTCTCCTGGCTTGTCTACCTACATTATATGTACTGAATAATTATTTACAAACCATCATGATGAGACTGGAACTTTGAAGTGGTGCGATAGTTTGCATGCCCCAGTGATCCATTGAGCTATGCTGGGTAGTGCTTTTTACATCTACAGAGCAACTCATAGCGGATTGGTCAATGGTTAGAGGCCAGACGAACTCAGTCTCTTGGCACTGCAGATTGGGGGGTTGGAGTGAGGGTGGCTCCTTATTCTTTAAAACGGATATCTTGTAGTCGACTGCCAAGCCTGCTGTCTTGCGGTAAGGTTTTTGAACCATAGGCGTTGGTTAAGAACCCTAATCGTTCTCCTGTCTAGGCCTGGGCAACCTGACAGTATCCTGATCACGCAATACATCATGACTTATCCTTCTAACAATCTATTGATGCCCTGGCCGTCGCAGAGGATAATCAACGACCCCCTATCTGCTGCATCGAGCTTTCCCAATATTTTCGTCCCGTCCCAACTTCACTTTTCTCCCCTGCTTTCAATCCCCTAATTATTGGCCCTTCTCCACCTCGCATCAGTAGTCGATTGTCTTCCACTTTCAACTCACACGCAATCGCAGGGCGTCGCTCCAGTCCAGTCGACGAGCCCATTGTCAACCAGCGGACAATGTCAGTTCATCCGTTTCCCTTTGGAGTCCTCTCTCCTCCCTAACAGTGGCATGCCTCAACGTGCGCGCTTTGCTACAGATTGGCCAACATGCAGCACTTGCCCGAGCACTCGCGACACTATCGACAGATGTTTCTTGTTTACCAGAAATGCGCCTGCACGATTCGAGCTCCGTGCTTACCCTGCTATTCCCCATACTGACGGCACATTCTCATTGCGTCTGTTTGGCGATGAGGCATCTTCAAATGCCGATCAAGCTGGCGTTGGCATTGCTTTGAGTCGCCGGGCTGAAACTGCCCCGGTCGACTGGATCACAGTCAACAACTGGATGTGCGCCGTTAGCTTAGCTGGCGTGTTCCTGGCTTCGAAATCGCGTGGGGACAAACAGTTCCTGTTTGTCATTGCGACTTACGCACCTACAAAATGCAGTCCTGATTCGGTGGTAGATGATTTCTATCACCAACTTAACAATCTCCTTCGTTACAGAAGAAGCACGGATACTGTGGTGCTTGTTGGTGATCTAAACGACCAAGTCGGAAGATTGTCCTCTGATGGAACCACTGTGGCTGGCCACAGTGACAGACGAATTGGTGACCGGATGCCGCCAACCACTTGCCAATCTCAACAGTGGGTGGGTTCCTGAACATCCGTTGCTTCGGTGCGAGAACCCTAGTCTGTGAGCCAACTATCCGTATGTTGCTGTTTGCTAATGACTGCGTTGTTTGCACACAGCGCGGATGAGTTGCATCACATGGCTAGTACTCTGGCTTCGTCAGCGGCCAAATTCGGAGGTGCAATCTTCAATATTGCCGCGAATCAGCATTGGTGATGACGTATTGGAAACCACCTCCCGCTTCTGCTACCTTGAGAGTGTGGTGGACTGACTAGCAGCTACACAGTGAGCTGCGTATCCGCGTGTCGAAGGCAGAGGCGGCGGCATTCAGGAAGCCTGAGTATCGAGTGTGAAACAACCATCAGGTTACCGTTGGCACGAAGTTGATGGTGCACAAATCCATGGTGCTGTCCGTTCTATACGGCAGTGAAACCTGGACGATGTACCGGCGGGATGTGTGATATCTCGAGCGGTTCCATCAGCAGTGTTTGCAACGGATTCTGCGCATCGGTTAGTGCGACAAAGTTGCGGACACGGAAGTGTTGCGCTGAAGTAGAATGTATGCAGTGGATTGCATACTTCTGATGAGGCACCATAAGTGGCTCGGTCATGTGAGCAGTATGGATTCGACGCGGATACCAAAGCAGCTATTATATAGTTAGCTGAGTGTTGGGAAGCAGCGTTTGGGGAAACCAAAAGTACGTTACCAGGACATGATCAAAGTGAGCCTCACACGTTCTAATCTTGATTGCAGATCATGGGAATTGAAGGCGGTTGATCGGCATGCATGGCGCGATCTGATCACGAAGGCAGTTGCCGAAGTGCGGGAGAAAGACCTCATGCGTGCAGAGAAGAAGCAGCAAGTGCGGAAGCAGCAAGCGCCGATGGGTTATACTCCATCGGCACCGAGCCCATGGTGCTTTACAACATGTCATCGCGAGTGCCTTAGTCAGGACAGGCCTAGTAAGCCATGAACAAGGCCACTCGGGACCACTACCGAAGCGACGACGGGTCCTGCAGAGAACGTAGGCAGAACCAGCGCAGCGTTTGTAGGTACGCTGCATTCGATTTACTAACCGCGTGCTTTCATGCTGAGCCTCTTTATTTCAGGTGCTATGTTTGCAATTTTACCCTAATGCTTTTTTATCTCATATTAATGTCTACCTGAAATATCTATAAACTTGCACACATCGCTTAATTATAGTTAACTTCGATAACATTTTCGCGTTTGTGGCATTTTCTTAAAATATATTTTCTGACGTCTTGGACCTTTCGCGGATATTTCGCAGGCAATTTGTTTTATGCGCTTATTTATTGCAGAGTTTTGTCACAATTTCCTTACGCATTGTTCGATTTATTTTATTTGCTATTGTCGTTTCAAATGATTGGCTGTTGCTTGATATCCTCGGTGTGGCTGCGCTTGATGTGCACGTTGAAAAGGTGCCTACCTGTCTATTACCCACTATGTCATCCATACTGGTTCCAGGAGACAGTTGGTCGTTGCTGAAACGGATGGGGTGCACGGTCCTTGTGGCCTTGTTAGGATCAAAGTGTGGTTCCATGCACTCAGTGTGTAGCGGATTACGGTCCAGCCACCGCTTTGTATGCGCTTGCTTCCCAAATACAGCGTGCTTGTGTTTGCCTGTGAAGGAGTGTGGGCCGGCTCCGTTGATGAAACGTGGCTCCCGTCCACATGCCTCCCTGTCTTATTCCTTCGGGTATACACTCGATATGGGGTGTTTGGATGGAGCTGTGGGTGGTGCAGTGCAAGCTATCCATGGTTGCTCTGTAGGCCTAGGCCTCCTGTGGCTGGCCGCAGTGACAGGCAAATCCGAAACGGAATGCCTCCAACCATTATCTCAACAGTCTAGCAACTAGACATAAAGCCAAAATAGCCATGGAGTTTAGCAGATAAGGGGAAGTCATTGCATCATAATCATCGTGGCATTGTAGTTGAAGATGAGCAACACACTTCAGCTATTGTGCCGCAGGAAAAAAAGCACATTTTGAGAAAAATTAGAACAAAACCCTTTTAGTTTGTTTTTTACACGCCGAGTTTTTCGTCATTTTCTATGTTTGAAGTAATAAACATGTGAATCAGTGTAATTCTCTACATAATTCTTCCATTGATTCCGGTTACGGGCCATGTCTTCAGGAGTGTTAAGCCATTGGCGCTCCTCATCTTTGTGTTCCTATACCTTAATACATACGGGTCCAACAGCGGCTAGACACGATCAGCGATTTCTTATGCTGTCGCCAAGTGGAAGGCTGAGCACCAAGCGGTTGCCTCCAGCCACGTCGTTGATGAGCGAATAGAGCTCGACGCGGTAGACGCTCAGCTGTTATGCGTAGGACCTGACCCGGGCATCTGAACTGGCGAATACTCGTATTCTCCAAGGTGCGACTTCGAAAGTCGTTACTGTTAACTCGATCTTGCTACCAAATACGAACAATCCTCCTTAAGCAACCGTTATCGAAGACAGAAAGACGATGCATGTCTTCCACGCGAATCGTTTAGGACTCGCTCCCATACAACAACACAGAGCGAACATATGCGCTGTAAACTTGGTCCTTTATAGAGAATGGGACGTCGCGACGACGCCACAAGTGCCTCACATTGGCAAATGCTAATCAAGCTTTAACGATGCAAAGAGAAACTTCTTTGCTGATAGTGCCGTCAGCAGAAACACAGCTCCCAAGGTAGACAAAACTATCTACCTGTTCAAATTGTGCACCTTCGAGAGTGAGCTGGTGTGATCCAATCCTTGGTCTCTACTTTACACTTCGATGGTGCGAACCTCATGTCATATCTAGATGCTTCAACCGCCGAACGATCCAGATTGAGCCGCGTACCCTGAGGATCGTCACCAAGTAAGGCGACATCATCGGCATAATCTAAGTCAGTGGCGCGCTCATCCTGTACACGTTATAGACCAAAATGTTGGAAACCTTCTAGGGCATTCGACAGAACGTCTTTGATTGCGAAGTTGAAGAGGAATGGGGACATGGTGCAGTCCTGTCACACACAGCTATTGACAGCGAATTGCGAGGAAAGGTTGCCATAGACCCTCACTCTGTTGGAGGTATGAAGGTAAAGTGCTCATAAGGGTGCGGTAGATTTCCCTGGAACCCTGTTCTTTAGCAAGCAACGTTATACAGCAGGTCGATCAACGAAGTCAAATACGGCACGTATGTCTAGCAGTGCAACGATAGTTGGTCTGTGATAAATGTGGCGATGTTCGAGGAGTTGGCGGAACGTGAAGATTTGATCCACGCATCTGTGGCCGGGACGGAAACCAGCTTGTTCATCACAATAGTTTGATTCATGTATTGGGGATAGTCTACATAGCAGAATG